CGTCGAGAAATTTGCAGCCTGCTTACGAGGACCGGAAGAGTTGAAAGGTTTTCACTGGATGCCATGGCAGTGTCACGATTTAACCTACATTTATAGTCTTCTTCATGATGGGTATGGATTTGAAGACGCACAGCCACTGTTTGTGAGTCATTAGAGTTATTGCTTGAAAACAGACCACGTGATTACATGTGATCCATAGTGTGATGAACAGCTCCAGGGAAGAAAAAAGCACAGAAATTATTAAGAACGCCCTAAGTAGGGACCGGTCAACCTCCCTGGACGAGTTTTTCGAAAATGCTCGTTTTATGCCAGTAAAGAGAGATCCCGCCGCTTCTCGCACACTAGTCATTTCTTCGCATCATTTAGTGCTAATGTGTTCAAAAGAGAAAAGAACAAAACACAGTATAAGAATTGGACTCGTGATGGAAGGTAGCCTTTGAGATTTGGTGAGGTACAACCAGGGAGGTCGCCACTAGTGAGGACCGCAGCGCGACCGTTACTTACTGTGAACCTGCGAGAGTAGGACAGCTCCTAAACTGTTGGCCAAGCAGCTTAATAAAGGAAGGACACCTAGCCATTGGTTGAGTGCGGGGGCTGCCTTCAAGCCGTAGTGCTATTGAGGAATTTTTAGTGGGGTCATATTTGACTCGTGGGACGTCAGTCGATTATTGCAGATACATCATAGCCTGCCGAAGTGGATTTGCGATAGATGCAGTAATGCCAAAGGCTAAGAGGATCTTTGGGCTCTTTTTGATGTACGTCCGTTGTGCCCCTTCAATTCGTCTACTGCTCCGCTTCTAGTGGACGAGTTTCTTTTCGTGGGAGGTAGAAAATGATGCGAAATGGTAGCTCAAAAGCTTATAAAACTCCTCGTTGTTCATTCCTCTTTGAAGTGCAGGACCCACTACGCTTCCATTCAGAATCCTAGTGGCTTTTTCCACCCTAGGAGGCTTATGACTGAGTTCAGTCAATGTGAAAGTCACTGTTTCAATCCTTGACGAATCCAGTAACAAGTTATGAACTGAAAGGTATATGGCTCGGTTGAGCTGGCTGGCAGCTGATAAAGGGCTGGACCCCTGGACCCTGCATATGGTAGCTTATCACTGCATCATCTCCACCAAGGCGACATAAAATGGTGGAAGAAATTGGACTTCATGATGATTTGGATCGCAGCTGAGGCCGCGGCTGGAGGGGGGAGAGGTTAAAATCGTATAGACCGAATGTTTCTTTTGAAATCTCAATCTCCGTTTTCTGTTACTATGTCTAAAATGAGGAATGCTATCCACCGCGCGAGTTCGTTTGGTACGTGGATTCACCCAAAAGGTTTATGAATGAAATAGCTTTGCAGAAAATGTGTCTCAGCAGTCTACCAATGATGTCCCATCAGAGGTTTAGAAGTCT